GAATAGTGAATGTACCGTGTTTATATGAGAAGCGGCAATTATAAAAGAGCAAATAAAAATATATAATAATAGAATATAACTTAACTGAATATATATCACATGTAAATATTAAAAATATTGCATACACTATTATTCTTGCCATTGACAATTCGTGTGTTTTTCCTGATATTTCCAACAACGATATTTTGAACATTGAGCATAAAAAATAGAATGTGGTCGCATTTTGAAGAATTATTAAAAAGGGCTATTTTTAGTATCTATAACATATATTCTTGTGATATGTCTAGTCTTACTGTACACCAGTGTGTCACAGCACATTTTTAAACTATTCCCTGTGAAAGATTATAGTAACGGTCAACAGATGGCGTATTGGTTTTACATTTATTTTGGCAGGATATTTGTCACTTCTTTTAATAACATATTTAAATATTATCTTCATTTTATGAGATGAATTATATTCAATAAATAAAAAACAATAAGCAGGACTAAATAACCTTCTATAATAAATTTTGGATATATTTTAACCTACTTTTACCCAGTGTTATTACTCAATAGATTTTTTCTAACATTTTTCTAGATAAAATATAATTTGAATATTCGTTTAATATTATATTTTATTAATAAGATGTGGGATGAAATAGAAACCGTCCTAGTATTGATCAAGTTCATAAAAACAAAACATTTCTATACAGGTTGGCATTTGTTAGAAATTTGCCCAACATATATCCTTCTGCGTATTTCGGTCAAGAAATAATCGAATTTGTATTGCCTTGATACATTTTATTAATGCATTAAATGCGTATTTATCAAAAGAAAATTATATTTGCTCATTTGTAATTCTATGTAAAAATATTTTATAAAAATGAGAAAAGTTAGAGTGTGTGTTTTTGTTGATATTAAAAATAAAATTAAATCTTGAATGCTCATATGAGCATTTTTAAATGGCAGAGCGCCATCTACTAAAACAAAAATAAATTAAAGGTTGAGAGAGAGAGAGAGAACGCTTCACGATTTTGCGTGTCATCCTTGCGCAGGGGCCATGCTAATCTTCTCTGTATCGTTCCAATTTTAGTATATGTACCGCCGAACAAGCGAGAGAGAGAGAGATTTAGGTTTGTTCTACTAAATGGCCTTCTGTCATCCTAAATGCTCATGTGACGGTCAGAAATTATAAATAAGGATAAATGTAAAGTTATTGATGATTATTAAGCTTAGATCTATTGGTTTTCGTTCAATAACACTGATAGACAAATCTTAAGGAAGTTGTACCTTATAGCATATATATATCGGGATTCATAAAATATCTCTCAGAGTTATTTTCTGAATCCCGATATATATATGCTATAAGGTACAACTTCCTTAAGTTTTGTCTATCAGTGTAATTAATCAGCGAACACCTTCCCTAGCGAGTCACGTTAACAAATACATATACATATACAACATATACATCGTATTCTCCTCAATACCGTAATTGAAAGAAATAAATGAACATAGCTTTCGATAAATTATCAAACAACAAATTTCGCAATTTCAAATATATATTGAACATAAGCAGAATTCCTATTTGTATTTTTATAATAGATATTTCGTTGAATATTAAATTATTTTGGTTTTTAATTGTATGTATGTATTTCAAATCAATAGAGTCCAATTTTTACCTATATATTTAAACAAATATTACACATTTACTAGTACCATAGAGATTAAATATACATTCTATATTATCTGAACGGATGATATATGTGTTAAAATGAGTAAAAATGCAAACTTTTTTTAATTTTTTCCTCTTTTCGAATTAAAATTACAAATTATAAACTTCTTTTTCAATAAAAGTAAGTAAAAGTTTACCAAAAAAATCTAATTTATATTTGGATTGCCTACGATTCAAATAAACCTGAAATATAAAGGTTATTTCATTTAATTGTATAAAATGCTACTTTTGTCTATTCGCAAAGAATGTAATGATTGAAAATTTGTCAAAAGAAAAATAATCTTTAGGAAATTGAAAAGTCAAAATCAATAAGCGTAGCAATTATATGAACATTGATTTTAAAATTTGTAACAAATGAATTTGCTCGAAATGTGTTTCTTTCAATAACATCATCCAATATTTCCTCTACAGTCTGTAGAGCTACATTGCCAGTGAATTTATTTGTTACAAATTTTAAAGATAGATGGCAATTACATTTATAAATGTAATTTATTCTAAAGTTTATATGGGAGTTTGTATTGTTGTCCTTCGCAAATGTGCTTATGGGGTCGTTGGAAGGGATGTCTAAACCGTTGTTGATTCTTATAAAAGTCCAACCCCACCAGCTAGTGCAAGTAACCAAACGGGTTTATGGCACATATGTAAGTGAGTAGTCGAACTGCTTCTTACATGTGTAATTAAGTGGTGCACTTACAGTAAAAGCAGTCACCTACCTTTTCTCACCATGTTTATCATGGCCTGTACTACGTGTACTAGGGATAAGCAAAATAAATGTGCTTGCTTTGAGTGTTATACGCACTAACCGCTCATAAAGATATTGTAGCATTCGATTCCCGTATTGGGAACCTTTTTCTGATTAAGAAAAAAATGATCCAATGGCCCCCGATTCTTGCAAAAATCCAACCCCACCAGCGAGTGCAAGTAACCAAACGGGGCTCTGGCAAATTTTCGTCGAAGTCGAACTGCTTTTCACATGTGTAGACATGTGGTGCACTTCAGTAAAAGCAGTCGCCAACTTCTACCCACCATGATTACCATGGCCTGTTACACGTGTACTGGGGATAAGCAAAAAAAAAAACGAATGTGCTTGCTGTGATTGTTATACGCGGTAACAGCCCATAAAGGTATTGTAGCTGGTCTAGCAGAGAGAGGGAGCTGAACTGGGAGACAATCGGTAGAAGGATGGTCTAAACCGTTGGTTTTCGACCGCTACGACCCGGGTTCGATTCCCGCATTGGGCACTTTTTTTTTATTAAAAAATGCTCAAATGGCCCCCGATTCTTGCAAAAGTCTCCCTTGTACTAGGGATAAGCAAAAAAATGTACTTGCTGTGATTTTTATACACGCTAACAGCACATAAAGGTATTGACGCAGGGCTAGCAGAGAGAGCTGAACTGTGAGACAAGCAAGGTAATGTTCCATTATGAGGTCAAAGAGGGCCATATTACCTGGTTGATCGATTGTGTCAACCCAGCGCGGCCTCGAGATATTGCCCTATGGCGCACACACGGACTACTAATACACAACTACGCCTAACTCAGATCGATCAAGTTACATACCACACAGATAAACATATTTACATATTTACAATTTATATAGTTCTATAGTTATATTGTAGTAAAATGGTTTTTATTTTTTTCAACAAAGTATCATTTTTATGTATATTTTGCTACTCTTCAAACTCCCTCATTAATTATCTCTTGTTTATCATTCATAGTTTGTTCTTTCCTTATATAAATTGCTTGTCTTAAATAAAGTTTGTCTTTACTAATTTTCAACGTGGCAATATAATCTGATAGAACTATATTAATTGTAAATATTTCAATAAAAAAATTATATTTATTTGTGGTATAAACATCTATGAAAGAGATATATGTTGAAATAAATCTAGATAAAACATACACAAACAAAAACACATTTTGAGTAAAATATTTTTAAAAATGTTTAAAGTGTATAGTAATTTTCCTTCGTTTCAAGGGCTATAAATTGAAACGTTAACTATCTTGATTTTTATTAATATTTAAAATATAGGTAATTTGCGATGCCTTTTTTATTTCTCTCTTGATATAATCTGATAGATATATATTTTTTTGAGAAATAGCTATAGAACTATATCAACACAAAGCAATAACGCGCCATCTATACATACAAAATAAAAGAACTTAAAAGCGCGAATGTTTCTTTTATACATAAAACGAATTTCTACTGTCCTTACTGCGATGAAAAATATATTGGGAGGGCTTGGCTCATCAGTGGTGAACCCTCCTAGCGGTTTCGCCAATTTAATCCACCAGACCGCTTCTGGACTCTGAGAAGCGGTCTGGTGGATTAAATTGGCGAAACCGCTGGGAGGGTTCACCACTGATGAGCCAAGCCCTCCCAATATATTTTTCATCGCAGTAAGGACAGTAGAAATTCGTTTTATGTATAAAAGAAACATTCGCGCTTTTAAGTCCTTTTATTTTGTAAGAACTATATCAATTGTAAATATTGAGAAAATAATATTTATCTGTGTCATAGACATTTGAGAAGGATATATGTTTAGAAATAGCTAGGCAAAACAAAAAAAAAAAAAAAGAAATAAAATAAGAAACAAAAATTTAATGTATAGTAGTTCTTATTTTTTTTAAAGGGCTATGAATTTAAATTTGACAACAATCTTGATTTTAATTGATATTTAAAATATAGTTTAATCGCTATGTGTGTGTGTGTGCTTTTTTAAGACTCTTTTCATATATAAATACGGAGTTGAAAAATTAAGGAATAAAATAAATACATTGAATTAAAAAAAATAAAAATTATATATCACACAAAATGCTCATTATACCAATTTCATTAATCGATTTGCATAAAAATATTTCTATAAATGATTCCACTAACAAAATCAATTAAATAAATGTAAGAATCGTATTTTTTTCTTCAGTAACTACATATAACTATATCAATGTGTGATAATTGTTAATTTCCTTTGTGATAGTATCTTTCAAGTTATCATTTTAATTGTCTCATAAGATTCATATACAAGTCAGTATAAAAATACATATTATGTAAATATCAAACGTTCATTATATTTATAATTTATCGGGATTGTGTTTGACATAAAATATAAATAAATACATTTGTTAAAAGGTTTTTGTAAAACGACTTTTGAAAATTATCCCGCATGATTTTCATTTTAACGAAAAATCAAAATTTATTTTTAACGAGAAATTACGATTTTTTCTAACCTTAGGGATTAGGTATGAAAGGATGAATTGTGAAGAGTAATGATAAACGGAAAAATAAAAGTGTCCAAGGATGGGAATCGAACCCACAGTGTTCCGCTTACCGGGCAGATGCCATGTCCACTAGGCTACCCTGGACAAATTTTTCCGTTCGTAAATAATACATAAAGTAATTTATAATACAATATAATATAATGCGGCTTGTGATTGTAAAACGACTTTTGAAAATTATCCCGCATGGGTTTCTTTTCAACGAAAAAACAAATATTTTTAAGGAGAAATTATGATTATTTATAACCTTAGGAATGAGGTATGAAAGGATGAATTGTGGAGGGTAATTATAAACGGAAAAATAAAAGTGTCCAGGGAAAGGTTTGTGTGCAAAGACAATTGCGGTCTTTAGCAGTAACTTCAAAATGAAATGACTCGCTTCAAACATGGCTTTATTAATCAAAATAAAAAGTTTCTAGTTTATTTCATTTTGATAAAATTATCCAGTGTCAGAGGCCATGAAATTAGAAAAAAGTAGTTTCGGCATCGCCTTGATTCCTGAAGCATTTCCCTCCCATGTGAGGTGACTGAATGGTGGTAGTCGTTAGGTGAGAAGTCTGGTGAGTATGGTGACTGATCAAGAGTTTAATAGCCCAACTCATAAAGCTTTTATCGCGAAATGATTGAGACGTAGTGTCTGGCGTTGTTGTGGAGAAGGATAGGCCTTTTTCTGTTGATCAATGAGGTGAAGTTTTGTTGCATTTCGATAATATGCTGTCAATACTTCACCGCAGTGATTGTTTCATCAAGGATTTGGAATCTATGGTGAATCAAACCTGAATCGAATAAATATAAACAATTAATTAATAAGCAAGGCTATTATTAAATGTCTTAATTAGTTTTTTTAAAAACCCAACTCTTTCGTGTGTAGGTTAATTTTTATTGACAAAATGACTTAAAAGGAAAAAACAGTGTACATATATATTGTTTTTTTTTGGAATTTTAAGATAAAATATCACATTTTAATATGACCACAATTTACACTCTATAAAATAACAACATTTCATACTTTAATTGCATTTTTCATTTTAATAACACTTTACTTTTTAATAGCATATTTATTTATTTTACAGGCTTTTCCCTTTATGTAACAAATATTTTTCAATTTTACTTAGACATTTCTATATGGTTTCAATAAAATATTATGGAAAACATTTATTAACCATAGAGAGCAATAAAATATTTTTCTCCCTATTGAATATAAGCAAAATTATTTTAAAAACTCAATACTGTTGACGTTATGTGGCGCTGAGTTTGTTGTTGACAAACATTAATATGTTATAATACCTTGCAAAAGGTTGGCGTTCAGCCAACTGAAATATTGGTAAAATAAATGATATTTTGATCCAATATATGCCTTTTTACAATAAATACTATCAATAATTTATATATCCATTTCTCAAATTGAGAATTTATTTTTAAAATATATCTAAAATCATTTGTTTGCTGATAAAAAATAACCTTACCTCTATTATCAAATTATTTCATAAATTATTAAATGAGATAAAATAAAATATTTGTTCACACACCTAGAAAGTATTATTATATCAAAATTAGAAAAAAATATTATCTGAATATATTTTGCAAGTACCCATTATAAACCCTATTACAAAAGGAAAATTTTAAATTATTTAGGGCAATATTAAATTGATTCATCTAATAATATACTCAATACTCAATTTATATAAAATTTATTTATATAATTTCTATATTGGGAACAACTCTCTTTCCTAAGTATAATTTAAAAAAAGAGTAATGTCTGAAAAATATTTCAAAACCTGTAAAACATAAATATATTTTGGTAATACCATGAAACAGTTGGGGCAATTAGCATATATTTTAATACAGTAGAACTTGGATAATTCTAACTTCTTTAATTCGAAAACCTCTTTAATTCGAATATTTATCTTGGTCCCTAGAATTTGAAATAAATAAAATTTCCGTTTTTAATTCGAATTTTTGGATAATTCGAATTTTTTTATGGTCCCTTGGGGTTCGAATTATCCAAGTTCGACTGTATTTTATATTGATATATTTTTAAAGAGAATTTTAGTCGTTAATAATAATAATAAAAAATAATATTAATGAGCGAATATGGTTGATAAATATTTTATACGAAATAGAATTATAAATAATTATAAATTTATATAAAATAATATTTTGAAAATATCTATAGATAAATATATTTATTATTAATTTGTATATTTTGAAGAATATTACAAGTATTTATATTCAAATATATATTTTGATATATTATTCTATATATATTTCTATTTCAACATTTCCACTATCTATTTTAAAACTACCCTTTTCGAAGCTTTCATTATTTCTTGAAAGTTCCAGATATTTGGTGTTAGTGAAATATCTTCCAGAGGTTTTAAACAAGGAGAAAATCAAAGCTGTCGAAAATGGTGGAAACCATTTGGTCTCTCCTTACAGATGACTCTGCAGCAGCAAACTTACTTGATAAAATATAGTACTTGTGGGGGACAATCTAGGTGTGAATAATAGCTCTCCAATTTCAGTAAAACTTTCTCTCTTTAAAAAGTTTTATCATTATCTAAATAGTTTCTTTATCCTGTATTTGATTTATATAGAAAATTAGAAAACAGAAGCAAAAATAAGGAATTCTTCAATATTTGTTTCTGAATATATTCTTGTTTTTAGGAATATAATTTTATTCGTTATTGAACCTTGTGGCCCACTGTACGTTATACATCCCAAACATGATGCGACACCAGTCATCTCTGTCTTGAGCTCGATGCACCATCATGGTGACAGTTAAGCCAGTGGTCCACGAAGCATATCTTCGTGTTTATATGCATTTTATTTCAAAATACAAAGCTCGAAACTGCAAGATTTGCATCCTTATTAGGTTGACTATTTTGTTTCCATATATCCACATTAAACGGAAGATACAAAATATATAGAGAATAGATTATGATACTTTTCAATATATTTTTACTCACAGTAAAAATAAAATAAATAGAGCCGCTCTCAAAGAAGGAAAAGGTCGAAATTAAGGCTATAAGAAGTTGAGCAATAGCAAAATGGAATTTAATTCATTATTAGCGATATAATTTTTGTTTATTTTAAAATACAAATTTCTACAACCACACTAAATAGAAAATGGAAAATCTAGAAATTATGGGAATTCTTTCCAGTATATCTTGACTTCATAGTAGAAATATTTCGATATAATATCTGTTGAAATGACAATTCATACACATTTCTAAATATGACAATAATAATTTTATTATTAACACAAAGCAATAACGCGCCATCTATAAATTTGAAACAAAATTATTTAAAAGTGTGAATGTTTCTTTTATACATAAAACGAACTTCTACTGTCCTTACTGCGATGTAAAAATATATTGGGAGGGCTTGGCTCATCAGTGGTGAACCCTCCCAGCGGTTTCGCCAATTTAATCCACCAGACCGCTTCTCAGAGCTCTAATACTGTATTGGATCATTCTGCTTTTATATGCTACACTGAAGGATGGAATCTTAGAAATGGTTTTCAAGCAAACTATGGACATAAGCTTATAGGACAGTAGAACTACATTCAAATATTTGCTTCGAGCAATGCTCTTCAGCAAACTATAAAGACAAGGCCAATTAGGAATATAATAACACAAAGCAATAACGCGCCATCTATACATTTAAAACAAAATTATTTAAAAGCGTGAATGTTTCTTTTATACATAAAACGAACTTCTACTGTCCTTACTGCGATGAAAAAATATATTGGGAGGGCTTGGCTCATCAGTGGTGAACCCTCCCAGCGGTTTCGCCAATTTAATCCACCAGACCGCTTCTCAGAGCTCTAATGCTCGAAGCAAATATTTGAATGTAGTTCTACTGTCCTATAAGCTTATGTCCATAGTTTGCTTGAAAACCATTTCTAAGATTCCATCCTTCAGTGTAGCATATAAAAGCAGAATGATCCAATACAGTATTAGAGCTCTGAGAAGCGGTCTGGTGGATTAAATTGGCGAAACCGCTGGGAGGGTCACCACTGATGAGCCAAGCCCTCCCAATATATTATTTCATCGCAGTAAGGACAGTAGAAGTTTTTTATGTATAAAAGAAACATTCACGCTTTTAAATAATTTTGTTTTAAATTTTATTATTGTTTGACCAGTGACTTGTTAATTTGTGGTGTGTTACTGTATATAAATAATTTCGTTTGTTTGTTAGCGTGTGTGTGCGCTTTTTCCTTTCTAGTTGGATACCGTTGAGTTTCAAGTCCTTATTTATTAAAATTCTCCGTTTATCAATTTCTTCTTCTGACGTCCTTCTTCTTTCAACAATATAGTCATGGTAAATTCATCATTTCCTTTGTTTTTATTGAGGATATTATAGAAATGAAAATAATGAGCCGCGCTCAAAGAAAGAAAAGGTCGAAATTTATGCAAACAGAATTAGAAAAATAGAAAAATTGATATAAATTAGAAGTTTAAGAACTTGAAGTAATAAAGATATTATAGGTTGAATTTATTCTATATTATAATATTGTTTATAATATATAAATAATGAGAGAGAAGCGTATTTTAATTTGATTTTAAGTTATAATATATTATTCCTTTTTTCTGTTGATAATTATTTTACTCTTTTGGCAAAGTTTCTGTTTAGTTATAATTACATATGAAATATCATAATAAAGGTAATTATTAAAGGAAAATCAACTATTTTTTTTTCAATTATTAATTTCTTCTACGCGCCTCGATGACTTAATTATATATTAATTGACTTAATTATATATAAAGAATAATGAGAGACTAATTATTTATTCTAATTACAATATAACACACCATGAAGACAATCGTAATAACAAAATTCACCTAGAAAAGGTAATGGGGCATTGAGGTCTCTATTATTAAAACTTCCCTTTATCAATTACTTCCAAACCAGCCAGTCATGGAGCTAATTAAGCTAACCATTTGCCTGTCCTTTCTCGATAATTAATTACTACATTAAACAGAATGTTAAACATTACGTAAACACAGCGGATTATTTTATTCATTTCAAAGTAGACCCAATTACTTTGGCCTTTTATTTATGACCTCCATAACACCAAAGTA